CTGCCCCTTCCCGCAGACCATCCAGCCCCCCTGAGCGCAGCACAGCCTGGGGGAAGGCAAGAGATACCCCTGGCTGGGATTTCCCTGCCCCCCAAATTCTCCCATCGCCCCTTAGGGTCCAAGAAAGCTGGTGTGCTCCCCATCTTCCTGCCAGTCCTTTGGGGTGAGCAAGAGCAGCTGCAGGGCTCCCCCTGGCTCCCCCGGCCTAGGGCATGCTGAGGGAGGGCTGGGTCTGAGCACTGCTCTGCCCATTCACAGCAGATATGTTGTCCCCGTCAGGGAGCAGGGTACTGGGCTGGCTCGAAAATCTCCTAATGTATGTCCGTGTCTTCATGGGAGCTGAGATCTCCCATGGACCCCGCTTCTTCCAAGGATAGGAGAGTCCTGCCCTTAATCTACGTAGGTCCAGCAAACCGGAAATAGAACCCAGGAGTCTAGCCGCCCCATTCCTGGTGTGACCCGCTACCCCACATTGCCACCCCAACCCTTCCAAGGGGAGATGGTTCCCCTCATTCGATTTCCCGTCAGGAAGGGAGGAGAATTTGTCAGTGTGCAAACACACCTAAAGGATGGGCAGGGCCGGCGAGGGGAATGGAAACTTACAGACTCTACCAGACAAAGCTTGACAATCTATTTAAGTTTCTATATTACACGTGAGTCCTTCTATAAAAGGAGAGGAAGAAACAGAGATGGGAAACAGTGAGAGACTAGTACATCTTCTCTGCTTTGCAGAATTACCCACTGACTTCAACCCGGGGAAACTTTACTCTGAGTGTTTGGTAAGTGATACCCCTCTTGTCTGTTGGTGCCCTAACTACTAGACCCGGAGACAATTTTTTATTTCAGAAGGTCGAGAAAGATACTAGGGGGGAGGCTGTTCTAGATTTGATTTTGACAAATAGGGAGGAACTGGTTGAGAATTTAAACGTGGAAGGCAACTTGGGTGAAAGTGATCATGAAATGGTAGAGTTCCTGATTCTAAGGAATGGTAGGAGGGAGAACAGCACAATAAAGAGAATGGATTTCAAGAAGGCAGATTATAGCAAACTCAGGGAGTTGGAAGGTAAGATCCCATGGGCAGCAAGTCTAAGGGGAAAAACAATTGAAGACAGTTGGCAGTTTTTTGAAAGAGACATTATTAAGGGCACAAGAACAAACTACCCCATTGCATAGGAAAGACAGGAAGGATGGCAAGAGACCAGCCTGGCTTTACCAGGCAGTCTTCAATGATCTAAAACGCAAAAAAGAGTCCTACAAAAAGTGGAAACTCGGTCAAATTACAAAGGATGAATCTAAACAACTAACACAAGTCTGTAGGGACAAAATTAGAAAGGCCAAGGCACAAAATGAGATCAAACTAGCTAGGGACATAAAAGGAAACAAGAGAACATTAGAAGCAAGAGGAAGACCAAGGACAGAGGAGGCCCGTTACTCAAGGAGGGAGGAAAGACAATAACAGAAAATGTGGAAATGGCAGAGGTGCTTAATGACTTCTTTGTTTTGGTTTTCACCAAGAAGGTTGGTGGCGATTGCATGTCTAACATAGTGAATGCCAGTGAAAATGAGGTACGATCAGAGTCTAAAATAGCGAAAGAACAAATCAAAAATTACTTAGACAAGTTAGATGTCTTCAAACCACCAGGGCCTGATGAAATGCATCCTAGAACACACGAGCTGACTGAAGAGATATCTGAGCCATTAGCAATTATTTTTGAAAAGTCATGGAAGACAGGAGACATTCCGGAGACTGGAAAAGGGCAAATCTAGCGCCCATCTATAAAAAGGGAAATAAGAACAACCCGGGGAATTACAGACCAGTCAACTTAACTTCTGTACCCGGAAAGATAATGGAGCAAATAATTAAGCAATCAATTTGCAAACACCTAGAAGATAATAAGGTGATAAGTAACAGTCAGCATGGATTTGTCAAGAACAAATCGTGTCAAACCAACCGGATAGCTTTCTTTGACAGGGTAACAAGCCTTGTAGATAGGGGGAAGCGGTAGATGTGGTATATCTTGACTTTAGTAAGGCTTTTGTTACTGTCTCACATGACCTCTCATAAACAAACTACGGAAATACAATCTAGATGGAGCCACTATAAGGTGGGTGCATAACTGGTTGGAAAATCATTCCCAGAGAGTAGTTATTAGTGGTTCATAGTCATGCTGGAAGGGCATAATGAGTGGGGTCCCATAAGGATTAGTTCCATTCAATATCTTCATCAATGATTTAGATAATGGCATAGAGAGTACATGTATAAAGTTTGCGAAGGGTTGCAAATGCTTTAGATTCAAAATTCAAAATGAACTGGACAAACCGGAGAAATGGTCTGAAGTAAATAGGATGACATTCAATAAGGACAAATGCAAAATACTCCGCTTTTGAAGGAACAATCAGTTGCACACATACAGAATGGGAAATGACTGCCTAGGAAGGAGTACGGCAGAAAGGGATCTGGGGGTCATAGTGGATCACAAGCTAAATATGAGTCAACAGTGTAACACTGTTGCAAAAAAAGCAAACATCATTCTGGGATGTTTTAGCAGGAGTGTTGTAAGCAAGACATGAGAAGTAATTCTTATATTCTACTCCACACTGATATGGCCTCAGTTCTGGGCACCACATTTCAGGAAAGATGTGAAGAAATTGGAGAAAGTCCAGAGAAGAACAACAAAAACGATTAAAGGTCTAGAAAACATGACCCACCGGGAAGATTGAAAAAATTGGGTTTGTTTAGTCTGGAGAAGAGAAGACTGAGAGGGGACATGATAACAGTTTTCAAGTAGATAAAAGGTTGTTACAAGGAGGAGGGAGAAAAATTGTTCTTCTTAACCTCTGAAGATAGGACAAGAAGCAATGGGCTTAAATTGCAGCAAAGTTGGTTTAGGTTGGAGATTAGGAAAAACTTCCTAACTGTCAGGGTGGTTAAGCACTGGAATAAATTGCCTAGGGAGGTTGTGGAATCTCCATCATTGGGGATTTTTAAGAGCAGGTTAGACAAACACCTGTCAGGGATGGTCTAGATAATACTTAGTCCTGCCACGAGTGCAGGGGACTCGACTAGATGACCTGTCGAGGTCCCTTCCAGTCCTATGATTCTATGACCTTACTGCCCTCCCAGAACTGGGAGAGAACCCAGGAGTCCTGACAGTTTTAACTACTAGACCCCACTCCCTTCTCCATGGAACCCAGGGGTCCTGACCTGCAGGCCCCCTTCCTGCCTCATTAACTAGTCCCCATGTCCTTATGGAACCCAGATTTCCAAGGCCCACCCAACCCTACTCTCCTGTGCCCCAATATCCACTCTATAGAACCCAGGCATCCTGACTCCCTCCCCCACTTTACCACCCCAAGCTTCCAAGGGGAGATGGTTTCCATCATTCGATTTCCCGGCAGGAAGGCAGGAGGATTTGGCAGTGTGCACAGACGTCCAAAGGGTGGGCAGGGCCAGCGAGGGGAATAGGAACTTACAGACTCTACCAGAAGAATCATGAAAAACTTTTTATGTTTCTACATTACACGTGAGCCCTTCTGTAAAAGGAGAGAGAGACAGGAAACAGTGAGAGACTGGCACATTTTCTCTGCTTTGCAGAATTAGCCACTGACTTCTCCCCAGGAACACTTTACTCTTCTAGAGCCTGGGACAGAACCCAGGAGTCCTGGCGCCCACCCCCACTCCTCCACCCTATGAATGGTGATGAAGGCGAGAGCCAATGTGCAAATGAGATAACTGATGGGTGTGGCAGGGTTGTATCAGAGGGGAAACACTATTAATCTCCAGCTCTCTTCCCAGTGAGTGCAAACAGCTCCCTGAGACTGAGGGGAGGTGGGGTGAGAGAGCCGCCCGCTGCCACACAGTAGAGGAGACTCTCTGACTCTTGTGTAAACTCTTGGATTGTGTCTTCTGGGACCAAGGACT